GATCTCCTTGTCAACGGCACTTAGGGCACAGTTCGTGACGATAACTGGGATCTGCTCGATACGAAAGTTGCCTGCAAGCAAATGGAATGTGGGGCAGCCAGACTGGCGCCTCTTGGGGCCCATTTCGGAGCCACTGTTGCCCCCTTTGGTTGGATGATGTTGAGTGCAGAGGCACTGAGTCTAATCTAATCCAGTGCCCCGCGAATGCTTGGGGAAAACACAACTGTGGTTCTGGCGAGGCAGCATCTGTTATTTGCACAGATAAGATCATTCTGAGTCCTTTTATGAATGCGAACTACAAGTAGTGGGGTGCCACAGGGTTCAGTTTCCGGGTCTCAACTATTTACGATAAAAATAAATGATCTGCAAGCAGGGACACAAGTTCCTCCCACTTCCTACAGACAAAGGGGGTGGGCATGGGTACCCGCATGGGCCCAAGCTACGCCTGCCTCTTTGTAGGTTACGTGGAACAATCCCTCTTCTGTACCTACACTGGCCCTAAACCCCACCTCTTCCTCCATTACATTGATGACTGTATCGGCGCCGCCTCGTGCTCCCACGAGGAGCTCGAACAGTTCATCCACTTCACCAACACCTTCCACCCCAACCTTAAGTTCACCTGGACCATCTCCAATACCTCTCTCTCCTTCCTGGACCTCTCTGTCTCCATCTCTGGCAACCACTAGAAACCGATATCCATTTCAAGCCCACCGACTCCCACAGCTACCTAGAATACACCTCCTTCCACCCACCTTCCTGCAAAAATGCCATCCCCTATTCCCAATTCCTTCGCCTCTGCCGCGTCTGCTCCCAATATGAGGCATTCCACTCCCGTACATCTCAGTTGTCCTCGTTTTTTAAGGACCACAACTTCCCCCCGTCAGTGTTCGAGAACGCCCTCAACCTTGTCTCCCACATTTCCCGCAACTCATCCTTCACACCCCGTCCCTGCAACAACAACCAAAAAAGAATCCCCCTTGTCCTCACGTCCCACCCCACCAACCTCCGGATCCAACGCATCATCCTCCGACACTTCCGCCATCTGCAATCCGACGCCACCACCAAAGACATTTTTCCCTCCCCACCCTTATCTGCTTTCTGGAGGGACCACTCTCTCCATGACTCCCTTGTCTGCTCCACACTCCCCTCCAGCCCCACCACACCCGGCACTTTTCCCTGCAACCGCAGGAAGTGCTACACCAGCCCCCATACCTCCTCCCTCAACCCCACCCCAGGCCCCAAGAAGACTTTCCACATCAAGCAGATGTTCACCTGTACATCTGCCAATGTGGTATACTGCATCCGCTGTACCCGTTGTGGCCTCCTCTACATCGGGGAAACCAAGCGGAGGCTCGGGGTCTGCTTTGCAGAACACCTACGCTCGGTTCACAATAAACAACTGCACCTCCCAGTCGTGAACCATTTCAACTCCCCCTCCCATTCCTCAGACGACATGTCCATCCTGGGCCTCCTGCAGTGCCACAATGATGCCACCCGAAGGTTGCAGGAACAGCAACTCATATTCCGCTTGGGAACCCTGCAACCCAATGGTATCAATGTGGATTTCACAAGATTCAAAATCTCCCCTCCCCCTACCGCATCCCAAAACCAGTCCAACTCGTCCCCGCCTCCCTAACGTGTTCTTCCTCCCACCTATCCCCTCCTCCCACCTCAAGCCGCACCCCCGTCTCCTACCTACTAACCTCATCCCGCCCCCTTGATCTGTCCGTCCTTCCTGGACTGACATATCCCCTCCCTAACTCCCCACCTACACTCACCTTTACTGGCTCCATCCCTGCCTCTTCGACCTGTCTGTTTCCTCTCCACCTATCCTCTCCTCTATCCATCTTCTATCCACCTCCCCCTCTCTCCCTATTTATTTCAAAACCCCCTTCCCCTCCCCCATTTCTGATGAAGGGTCTAGGCCCGAAACGTCAGCCTTTCTGCTTCTATGATGCTGCTTGGCCTGCTGTGTTCATCCAGCTCTGCACCTTGTTGTCACAGACTGAAACGTAGCAACATTAACGTTTGATACTGAACTGGGTGGGAAAGCAGGCTGTGATGAAGAGATAAAGAGTTTACAGTCGGATATTGTTAGGGTAGAGAATGGGCCAGAATATGGAAGATTAAATTTAATGTTGCTAAGTGTGAGATTGTCTGTTTTGGCCAGAAAAATAAAAGAGCAAATTGTTATTTAAATGAGAAGCAGATTCAAAGCGCAGTGCAGAGGAATCGGGGCATCTTTGTGCACGAATCACAGAAAGTGGGTAAGCATGTGCAGCATAGAATAAGAAAGGCAAATCGGATCCTGGCATTTATTGTAAAAGAATTGGACTATAGAAGTGAAGAAGTGTTGTTATAATTATATAAGGTGTTGGTGAGAGTGCATCTGGAATATTGTGTCCAGTTTTGGTGTCCTTACTTGAGAAAGGTTATGGTGATATATTGGAAGCCATACAGAGACGGCTCACCAGGTTGATAGCAGGGCTGAAAGTGCAGTCGTACAGGGAGCGGTTGAATAGCTTGGGCTTGTACTCGCTAGAGTTCAGAAGACTGAAGGGGGTCTGATTTAGGTTTATGTAACACTAAAGGGGATTGATGAGGTGAACATTGAGCAGACTTTGTGGGATGGTCTCGAAGAAGAGGTCATAGACATAGAGGGAGAGGAAGTAGGTTCAAAACTGAGATGAGGAGAAACTATTTCTCTCAGAGAGTTGTGAATCTGTGGAACTCACTGCCCCAGAGTGCAGTGGAGGCAGAATCAATCAACAGTATGAAGAAAGAAATAGATATGTTATAGATGAAAGGCAAGATAATGGGCGATGGGGAGCAGGTAGGAAAGTGGAGTTGAAACCAGGATAATATCAGCCATGACCATGTTAAATGCCGGAGCAGGCTTGAAAGACTGAATTGCCCACTACCGCTCTTAATTCTTATGTTTCTTATGAATGCATCCCTACTGGGAAGTCAAGGATATTTCAAGCAGATTTTAATTTTACCGAGAATAAGAGCAAAATTTCTTTGAAATGCTGCTCCATAGAAATGGTACAGTGCTGAAGGATACTATTCGGCCCACTTTGCCCATGCTGACACAAAGATACCCTTTCCAATCCCATCTTCCTGCATGTAGTCCATAGCTCTGCAGCTTAGAACACTTAAGGTGCAGATCCAGGTACTTTTTAAAAGAGTTTAGTGTCTCTGCCTCCACCACCAACTGAGACAGCGAATTACAGACACCCACCACCCTCTGTGTGAAAAATGTTTCTCCCCACCTCCCCTGTAATCCTTCCGCAACTTATCTTGAATCGATGACCCCCAAGGGTTTTGATCTCTCTGTCAAGGGAAACAGGTCCCTCCTCTCTACTCTATCTCTACTCCCCTCTGCACAATTTTGTATACCTCAATCATGTCACCCCTTAGAGGCTGATAGGCTGGCACTATTTTTGCCTGGACTATCAGAGGCTGAGGGGTGACGTTATAGATGCTTATGAAATCACAAGGGACAGAGATAAGGTGATTAGCCAAGGTCTATTCTCCACACATTTCGAGTCCAGTGGCCCTTCTTCAAGACTCACAATAGCCAGGAAAAGATGGTATATGTGCTGATGATGGAGGAGGCAGAGGGGAAAGGAGTGAGCAGATTGGTGGAGATGGATCCCAGGGAGAGAGAGAGGAAAGTTAGGCAGACACAGTGATGATTGATAGTAAGCCGACGGAAGGGGAAAAGCCAATAATGGGAACAATGAGTAGGTGAGAATGGGCTGGCTGTGCTGAAAGCAGCCCATGTCATGACAGGGCCTGGGCTGTGGGTAAAGGACATGGAAGGAGGTGCATCAGGATGTGAAATGATTGAACTCAATATTGAGTCCTGAAGGCTGCAGGGTCCCCAAGTTGAAGATGAGATGCTGTTTTTCCAGCTTCCTCCTCGCTTCGCTGGAGTACCGCAGCAAGACCCTGATGGAAATGTTGAAGGTGGGGGAGGGTGGGGGATAGGGTGGGTAGCGGGGGAAGGTGGGCGGTGGGCAGGGCTTGGTGTGGTTGGTGTTGCAGTTTTGTTTTTATTTATCCCAGCTCCTCTCTCACAGAGCTTCACATTTTCCATGATTTCAATATAGTATACAAATGGAACCAGTTGGGTAGCTCTTTCGAGCACCAGCAGGGACGCGTTGGGTCAAATAGTCTCCTTCTGTGCTGTAAAATTCTTTGATTCTATGACATGTGGTACAAAAAGGATGGTAAACATTCTTGCAAGTGGAATAGTATAAAACTGCAGTGAGTTCTTTATACGGGCAACTAACACATAAGTCGAAACAAATCAAAACTGCGCGAAGTGTGTATGGACCAGACCAAACTGCCTCAAAATATATGAAGAAGATAGCCTCGCCCCCAGGGTTTTTTAATTTTAGAGGAAAATGATAGGCAAAGTGTTCCAGATGTAGTTCAATTGGTTAAAATACCAGTCTTGAAGCACAACACACTTTATTCATACATTATAGTTAAAATACAACAAAATAAAGTAAAAATTGGAATTACTTAACTCTACTGGAAAACTTAACAGAATAATTGATTATTTAAATGCTAAACAGCCACTGTTTCAGTATAGTAACATCCCATAAACACACCTTTGTGAAAGGCAAATTTGGTAAAAACAGTTGTTTCACATGCAGCTCCCCAGTCCCGGAGGAAGGACACCAAAGAAAACTCTTAGCGAGAGAGTAGCAGGGAGAAAAATGTACTGCAACTTTCAAACCCAGCTTCAAAATCCCAATAACTGCTACTGAAACTAAAACTAAAATCCTGGCTCTGTGGAAGCTTGACCCCACTCATTCGAATGCTTCTATTGTTCCAACTTTAAAAAAACCGAAGGCCTTACAAACTGTTTATTTTCTTGGCTCTCAGATTTACTGTCTCAATCTTTCTTAAGAAAAAGGGCAAAATACACCTCTTAAACCTATAGTATTATCGCATAGTGACCCTCTATTTATTCTTCTCTCCCGCAGAACAATTCCAGGTCAGAATCGTGAATGGGGACAATGAGTGTTCTGGGAGAGTGGAAGTCTTTTACAATAAAACATGGGGCACTGTCTGCGATGATGGTTGGGACCTAAGTGATGCGCAGGTTGTCTGCACCGAGTTGAGTTGTGGGTTTGCCCAGGCTGCGCCTGGAAGTGCTAAGTTTGGGAAAGGCCTATCGTCGATTTGGCTGGATTCCGTTCAATGCAATGGGTCTGAATCAAACCTCTGGCAGTGCCAATCAAACACCCTGGGTCAGCACGATTGCCAGCACAGCGAGGATGCATCTGCTCTGGTGAGTGCCCCAGCCATTCCCCTGAGAGATGGATATCAAATCTGTTACATCGAACAGGAAAGGGTAATATTTGGTTTGATTTATTTATTAATCTCACATGTACCAAGATGCAGTGAAAAGTATTCTGTGCTAGACAGACTAATTTTGCTTTTTTTATTCATTCACGGGATGTGGGTATCATTGACTTGGCCAGCATTTATTGCTCATCCCAAATTGCCCAGAAGGCAGTTCATAGTCAACCGCATTGCTGTGGGTTTGGAGTCACATGAAGGCCAGACCAGGTCAGGACAGCAGTTTACTTCCCTAAAGGACATTAGTGAACTAGATGAGCTTTTTCCCAACAATTGACAATGGATTCATGGTCATCATTTAGACCTTAATTCCAGATTTTAAAAAAAAGATTGAATTTAAATTCCATCATCTGTTGTGGCAGGATTCAAACCCAGGTCCCCAGAACATTACCTGGGTCTCTGGCATGATAGTCCAATGATATTACCACTAGGCCACTGCCTCCCCACATCATGCCATACGTAAATGCGTCAGGGTAATAGAACAGAACGTAGATTATATTGTTACAGCTACAGAGAAGATGCAAAGAAAGATCAACTCTAATATATCCAAGGTCCATTCAATCATCTGATATCAGCAGGGAAGAAGCTGTTCTTGAATCTGTTGGTATGTATTCTCAAACTTTTGTATCTTCTGCCTGACAGAAGAGGGTGGAAAAGAATATAGCCTTATAGTTGGCTACTTTCCTGAGGCAACGAGAAGTATAGTCGCAGTTGATGGATGGAAGGCTGAATTTCATGATGGATTGGGCTGTGTTCATGACTCTCTGTAATTTCTTAGATCACATGACATGGAAGAAAGGAGGCAAAGGATGTTACTTCATTGAATGTTGGTCTCTAAAGAGTTCTTTTCTGCTGCAGTTGTCCACTTCTAGCCTCATTGCATGGAATGTCCTCGCAACATAAATGCCGTGCATGTGGCAGGCTTTGGTGAGGTCACAGCTGGAGCACCGTGTGCTATTCTGGTCTCCATACTCTCGGAAGGATGTGATTCCACTGGACAGCGTGCAGAGGAGATTCACCAGGGTATTGCCTGGGACGGAGCATTTTGGTGATGAAGTGAGAGGCTCGATAAGCTCAAGTTGTCTTTTTTAGAGCACGGAAGGCTGAGGGGAAACCTGATAGAGTTGTGTAAGATTATGAGGGAAATGGACAGGGGGAATATGAAGCAGCTGTTCCCCTGACTCGAAGGGTCAAAAACAAGAGCACATCATTTGAAAGTGAAAGGCAGGAGGTTTAGAGGGGAATTTGACAATTGTTTCACCCAGAGGGTGGTGGGGATACGGAATGCACTGCCTGGGAGGAATGTTGAGGCAGGAAGCCTCACAATCTTTAAAAAGTACTTGGGCTGAACACTTGAAGTGTAATAAAATTCAAGGCTATCATCTTAGTGCTGGGAAAGTAGGACTAGTGTAGATTTAGTGTAGCTTTGGCGGTATAGACTCAATGTGCCGAAGGGCCCATCTGTACTATATGATTGATGATACTATTTAGTCTAACTTTGGTGAGTACAGTCTTGATGGGTCAAAGGGTCTCTCTGTACTGTACGATCAATGATCCTATTTAGTGTAGCTTTGGCTGGCACAGACCCGATGGGCTGAAGGGCCTACTTTGTACTGTGCCATCTGATGATCCCACAGTAAATCAGGTTGTGAGCCTGAAGGTCAGTGAAAGTTTGACGAGGCCTGCTGAGTGGTCAGCATCCTTTCCTCCATTGAAGGTCCTCAGATCACTTATCAGAGGAGTAAAGAGAATTTCAACACTAACTGAGGAACTGGTGGATATGGTTAGAATTACAACATTTAAAAGCCATTTGTATAAGTATGAATTGGAAAGATTTGGACAGGTGTGGAGCAGGCAGGTGGGACTAGTTTAGAGATAGTAGGAACTGCCGATGCTGGAGAATCTGAGATAACAAGGTGTAGAGCTGGATGAACACGGCAGGCCAAGCAGCATCAGAGGAGCAGGAAAGCTGACGTTTCGGGTCTGGACCCTTCTTCAGAAAATTTTCTTTCCTGCTCCTCTGATGCTGCTTGGCCTGCTGTGTTCATCCAGCTCTGCACTTGGGACTAGTTTAGTTTGGGATTATGTTTGGCGTGGACTGGTTGGACTGAAGGCTCTGTTACCGTGCTGTACCAACATTAGAGACAAAAGGGTGGACATTGTGGGAAATTTAAAAGTTATGCACTTGGTGCAGTCACGTCAGGAAGTGAAACTTACACCTTGAAGAGCATCCATGGACCACATATAGGACAAGGTTTCTTGGTCAAACATTTACTTTTTGATCTTCATTTTTTTTTCATCTTGGCCTTTATCTCCAAACAGCAACCTGTCACTTCACCCATTTGTGTGTAGTCAATGACAGGATGAATGAAACATTTAAGAGCTTTGTTTAGAATTTCAAAGGTCAAGTAGTGATCTGATCAAAGATATTAACAGGAAATCATGGGTTTGAAAAAGATAAACTATTTCCATTAGTTGGGGATTCTATAACTGGTGAGGACACAGTCTGAGAGTTAGGGCCAGACCATTCAGGAGAGTTGCTAGGAAGTGCTTCTACACACAAAGGGCAGTAAATGTTTGAAACTCTCTTCTACAAATGGCAGTGGATGCGAGATCAGTTGTTAATTTTTAATCTGAAAGAAATCCATTTTTGTTAAGCAAAGATATTAAGGGGATAGGGAGCCAAAGGCAGGTCACAGCCAGGATCTCATTTCACAGCATAACAGGCAT